ATTGAACAAACTTATCTGCAGGTTTAATAATAGTTTCCAAATTACAACGGTCGGTAGTCAACCACTGTTGAAATAAAACTTCTTCCATATCAGAGTTGGTTGGAAATGCTAACATGAAGCTTTAGTGTGATGATTTATTAGCTAAAGAATGATCTTTAGAAGAGGGTAGGTGGATAGTTCCGTTAGAGTACGGCAGTATGAAAATTGAATAGAAGTTGAAAATGAGCGAAGGGCCATTAAAGCGACAGTTTTCAAGATAGACGCACATTTTTGCCTAGCCCGTACGATGTACGCGGGGACTTGAAGTATGTCTCCAAGTCCACAGGCAAAAATGTGCGTCCCTCTTGTTGCTCATAAACTGACTGCGGCTGTGGAATAGTTCTAGCGACGTTTTCATCACTACCTAAAGCCCCACGCTGCGAGAGCATTTCCAGTCGATGGTGTGTTATAATGCAGTTCTTCTTTACCCAACTATTGTGTTGCTTGTGTTCTTCCATATCATCTGCTTCTAATACTGATGTAAGTTCCCTCACGATACTATCTGTGGAAATGCATTCTTCATATGTACGATAAAAACAATCTATGGTTCTAATAGGACTACTGCAAAGTATTTTGTCTGCAATTTCTTTATATGAATCAAATTTTACACTATTAATAATCAATTTAACATTTTCATGTATAGTACAGACACATACATTATGTGTACCTGTACTATCCAACAGTATGCAATGCTTTGGTTGGAGCTGAGTGAACGAAGTAAATCCGATTTTAACACTTTTGTATTTCTCTTCAAAAATCATAAAAGCCTCTTTAAGAGACATCATCAATAAACGTTTCTGAACATGCTCTTTATATCCATTTCGATATTCAGAAACATAATCATTACTTCCTGGCATAGGCCTACTAATATCATCACTGTCAAAGAAATTTAAAACAATTTGTTTTTCAGTATCATTAAATCCATGACCACTTCTTGCTTTCTTACTACAAAGAATACCTTGTTCTCTGACTAGCCTTTTCATCTGTTTCACTGTATGATGGGGTGCATTAAACTCATTAACTATTTGATTCACTGACCATGATTTAGGGAGCACTGATAACACTTTTAATTTGTCATTTGTACTCGTAGAAGGCAAATTAAATTTCTCCTTTAACTGCATGATCATTTCGTCAAAATCATTTGATTTGTTGACATCGTCTGAATCCATCCCAAATATATTTTTACGCACTGCCTTTGTGATCTCTGCAGATATTACCACACATTAATATATAACGCTGTTAAGGTGATAGTACCATGAACGGGGGTGGTTTTGATAATAGGGGTAACTTTGGTAATGCAGCTAGGCCAAAAATTTATGACTTAAGGCACATCGTACGCAATATTTTGGATAGGAAACCGATGTTCCCTTCCAAAATAATGAATACGAAGAGCATTAAGTCATAACTTTTTGGATTAGCTGCATTATCAAAGTTACCTCCATTATCAAAGACATCCCCGTTTACGGTACATCGAAGCCGCATCTGAATTTTCCCCATGTTTGTGGAGCACGAGCTGCATAAACCGCATATCGTACAGTCGTGAAAATTTGATAGATTGTTCACCGAGGTTGGCCTACCAATCGATCAAATTTGTACGATAAGCGGTTCATCCAGCTCGTGCTCTAAAAAAATGTTGAAAATGAAGTTGTATCTTCGATGTACAATCCTTAAACCACACAGTTGAAACAGTTAAAGTTATTATTATTTACCTAGTGTATCATCAAATTCCTGATGTTCTGATTGCTGATGACTTGTTGATGGTTGCGGCTCTTCAAACTTCCGAGCATGGCTTGATTCTTTTCCATCCGATCGCCTCTTTTTCGGGAGAGGTGTCCTATTGTGCACTAAAATTCCACGACACGATTCACAAATACGCATTGTTACATCCAATTGATGATCAAAGCCCCATGAATGTATTTTCTCTATGAGACTTGATGATAAATTACGTAAATTATTGCGGCTGCAATTGGGATTGTTTATGTTGGCACTACATTGCACCCTTTTAATAATCAATTCAGCAGATTTTTCCATTGTTGTATATATAAACACTTTTTCGTTTCAACAACTATGCAGCACTACACTTTCAACAACTATGCACTACAGCAACTATGAGCATTGTTGTGATATCACCAAACTTAAATATTAGATTATGTCGGTAGAAACAGACTGCGGTGCTTTAAGTTTATACCTTATATCTCTCATGTGACTACCTGCGTTGTTATATAACTGCTATATAGCAGGTAACTTAACGATTATTTTAGGCATGCCTTAAATAATCGTTAAGTTACCTGCGCTATTATATGTATTCACTTGAGAGATGAGGTATAAACATATATGCATATTGCTTACTAATGGACACACCTAATACATAAAAATAAATGAATGATTATTTTTCTAATTAAATTAATCACAAATACATGAATTGAAATCTTTTCATGAATAAAACATACTAAGTGATTTTTACTTAGTTTACCTGTTGATTTGGAACAATTTGAGGGTGGTTTTATAGAAGTTGGATAGAGTGTATGCATATATTATAATACAATCCATCACAGGAAAGTGCAAACCATGCTGAGATGGCTGTTCCTCATTAGAACGTTTTGTTCTGAACTCTTATTGGACGATTTGCAGGTAACTTCTCTGTACCCTTTTCAAATGTTAGGCTAGATTTCGCCCAGATTATCGAAAAGTATACCCATAAAGTTTAATCGAATTTTAATAAGGTTGTGCGCGTATTACTATTCGACTTTGAGTGAAACACGCTAAAAAAAAATTAACATGAAAAGTTGTTGTTCGAACAACTTTTTTTCCTTAAAAGCGCGCACTTTGCGATGTATGAAGAAAAGTTAGGTAATTATATTGCCTTTCATGAGAAAAAATATCAAGCAAATCTGAGGGGTACCATTTTTGGGAAAATGACTTTTAATTTTTAAATATATTTTTTTAGAGTGTAGAAACCGATTTTTTATTTTATTTAAATTTTTTTATAAAATTTCAGATTATTTGCTAAAAGTTCGCCATACATCACTTTTTTGTAGGGCTTGTCATTTTTAAGCTATATCGATTTGAAAAAAAAATCGACAAAAAACTTTGACCCTTATCAAATGTTAGGCGAGATAAATTTTGAAAAAAATAAGTACGCAAAGTTGCTTAAAATTGCTAAGTCTCCACACCCACAAAGTTCCATAAGGTTCTGAGAGGGTGCTGCCAACCACTGGATGAGTTGGTGTGAAATCCGTCAATTGTATCATTGGGACGGTACTAATGGATACTTTTGGTTGCTATTGAAAATGTAGTCGATTGCAAAATTTATGTATGGGCCCAAATCAGGGGCATTTAGGCCGACATTACATCCATTTCCCCTACGTTCCAAAATGAGCCAAGACAGACTCTCGGCTTTCGTTCGAAAATAAATCGCTTCGAGAACTTGATTTGGTTGCTATTATTGATCAGTTTGCTTCAGTTAAGTCACATCATGCTATATTTTGAATTGACTTTAATGGCGGTAAGCTCCAACTCGGATTAACTTTTAGTACCGTCCCTGTTTGTACGATCTGCAAAATGTTTTATTAGAGTCATGTTGATAAACTCTGATGTCGACATCAAACCAGCCGGTCATTCTTAATCTGGATTTAATCTGAGGATAATATCGGCTGAACTTACCACCTTAAGTGATGATTATGATGGTCTTACTATGAATATGAAATAAACGTTACTGTAACGAGTTTTTCACGGTATATATAAATATGACTCGACATGTCGACATTTCACAATCTTGTATGTGTAATAATTAAAATTCATTGATATAGATCAAATATTATAAATTAATTATGTGAAATACTTAAAATATAAATACTTACGTCTAAAAAACACATTTGACAAGGGGTGTAATTTCCATGGTTTGCCAAGGGCGCTGTCAACCTTCACTACGTCCCTGCTCTTCAATACCATATTTACGTTTCCAGCTATGCTATTTTGATACCTGAATTTGGTATTCATAAGTTATTTTCTCCTCCTCGGGAAGCAGCACGCCACCGTACTGAGAAAGTGTCTTTTTTTGCGGAATGCCATACCTAATCATCACTGACACACTCCCAAACAGATAGGAGGGCTAGAATGGCGCAAAAAATGAATTGTGCTTTTTGTTGAGAAAATCCCCTTTCTGAAGGTTACAAAACATTTGGTTGTGACACAAGCTGGTGCTCTTGGTTTAATGTTAATAAGGGGTGTTTGTTCAAAATTTATTAGAAAATGATACCCTTCCATTCTTTTTTATCATAGAATTGATTCTTATCCTCGATTCGGCTCAGAATTTCAGGGCATTTAGCTTAAACAAAAATAAGCAACTTTTTCGAAGAAACTTAAGACACAACTATGCCGAAGACTGCTTCACGATGCAAGTTAGTGTTATTGATATATTTGCATTTGAATGTAAGAGAGAATTGTATCCGAAAACAATTTTTGCACACATTCAAAAGTAAATATAAGTGGATTCTTATTGTTCAAGCTACATGCTGAATCTTTCAGAAAGGGGTTTTCTCACCTAAAGGCACAATACTGTTGAAAAAGTTGAAAAAAGAATCCTCCCACAAAAATTTGGGCCAGTCTAAGAGGGGCCTCAGTTAGCAGCACTGATAACATTCTTATCTTATCGAATTCTTTCCCGATAAAGGAAAGGAACACCCGTTAATCCCTATCCGCCACGCACTTCCACCTGTCCGCCGTGCAATCCGCTAATTAGTTTCTTCCCATTCTGCCATCGCACTCGCACGCCCTGCAATTTATCGTAATGCAATGGCAAACAGTATCGTTTGTCCGTGATTTCGGTGTGTGTTTGTGTGGATTTCTAATTGATAGTGATCACTGGTGCCCTGTTATCAGGAAGGTAGAGTGTTGGTTTTTTTTCTGCGTTCTGTCTTTTCGTTTCCCTGTCTGTTAGTCATTCAGGGACATCCGTTGAAAGTGGCTCACCATGGCTCCGCCAATCTGTGACATTTCATTCGATGACAACTCGCACGGAGTGTTCTTCGCTGGTCAAACTCTATCCGGCCAGGTGGAGATTACCGTGCCAAAGGCGAAGAAAGTGAAGAGTGTCTTTCTGAAAATTACCGGCCAGAGTAGCGTGCGTTGGGCGGAGAGCAATAACACGGGGTCCAGTGTGAACTATACCGGTCGAGAAGAATATGTTAGTCATATGGAGAAGTATTTGGAGAGCCCAGATGGAGAGAAAGTGGAATTGAAAGAGGGAACGCACAAGTACAAGTTCTCGTACAAACTGCCAACGGATTGTCCCACATCGTTTGAAGGCGATTTTGGATATATACGGTATACGGTTCGGATAGTGTTCGAACGGCCGTGGAAGTACGATCTAACATATAAGATAGCGTTTACGGTGGTAAACCAGCTGGATTTGAATAAGATTTCACCACCTTTGAACGTTGCCACTGTGCGGGAGAACATGAAGCAATTTAGCTGTGGGCCGTGTAGATCGGCCCCTATGATTATGACAGTGTGCATTCCAATGACCGGCTATGTTCCGGGACAATTGATCACGGTTACCGTTGATGCCATGAACAAGAGTAAGAAAGATATAAGCGAGGTCAAGATAAAGCTCCGACGGCAGGTCAAATACGTCGGCCAATCGCCGAGTGAAAGAAGCAAATGTGTGCAATGCACTCTAGTCAAGTATCAATGCAGTGGCGTAGATCGCAACAAATCGGTAGGATACGCACGGCGTCTTCTGATTCCACCCGAGCCTCCCTCTCGAGTGACCAGCATAATACAGATCGAATATTTCGTCGAAGTCACAGCTAAAGTTCCGGGCATGTATGCGAGCCCTCGGATTAAAATTCCTATCATCATCGGTACTGTCCCACTGACCAATCTTGACAAATCTCAGACACGATCGTCGGTCGTCGACGGAGTAGTGGCGACGGGTTCCGGGTCAGCCAATAACCTCTCGACCCAGTTCCTATCGAGCAGTATCCAGTCGTTGAAAAGTAAGCATATCTTTCTTTTATGATCCTACCTACAGTGGGGTGATACATGTTTCCTTTGCATTTGCACAGTGCCTCACAGTTTCGAAGAATCGCCGAACAGGGCTGCGATCAACATCCAGGAGGACGACGAGTATCAAACGCTGGGAGCGAAACCTTTCACCCCGCGCTATCCGGTCTACAAGTTCGAAATCAGCAGCGAGACGGCTCGAAATCGAACCAGTTGAAAGGAAGAAAGGGGCGAGTCTAATGGAATTGTGACGTTTACGACACACTTATCGACTGAGGAAAAAAGCAATAATATAAATTGTAGTGCAGTGACTGCCGTGTATTATTGACTCTTATCGGTGTGTGACTGGTTCGTTTGGCAATGACATTCTGTCCTACAGGTTGTTTCGAAATTTGCAGCCAGTTTTGAGGTGCGCCGCGAGTGACAGTTGTGCTGTTCTGGTGACGCATGTGTGTGTTTGATTATTTTTTAGTAAATCATTATTAACTTTGTAGTTGTGTTGCATATGAGCGGTTTGCTTAATTTTGATTTACTGTGTTTACTTTTCAGAATCGATGAACTATTTGATGTAATTTTTCAATCAACTCATGTCACAACACAGCATAAAATAAAAATGACTATTATATAAAAGAGACTTGCACTTCAACTGCGCTAAAAATGAGGAATGGGGAAGATCGTTAATTTCACTGTATTTTCTCACCAAAACACTTCGATGAATGTATTTAAACGATTACTCAGCATTTCAACTTCAATTTGATTACATGTTTACGACTGGGCAAACCTGTTATGCCAAGTTTTTCTTCAAATGAAATATACGCATCATACAATACGTCTGATTTCGAATTGTTGAAAATAGAACAGCTGCCTAATACGCAGTTTAAGTGGAAGTGGTTGCCGAAGAAAAAGAGGTTGCCTACAATAGTCACATTCGCCTGAGAAGTTTCGAGCGTTGTCAAAACGTTTTCAACCCATTTTGGACAATACTGTCAATTGGAATAGGTAGAACCGCAAGCAGTACATAAATGTAATTCAAAAAAATATGTCATATGTGTTCGTGACGCTGAGAAATTGGTTGGAAATGCTATCTAACAAGAAGCTTTAGCATACTCTATCGGAACTATCTATTGAATAGAAGTTGAAAATGAGCGAAGGGCCATTAATGCGGCAGTGCAATTCAAATGCACACTCTTTGCCTAACCTGTCCGATGTACGTGAAGATCTACAGGAAAAAAGTGTGCGCCTGACTTTGCTCAAATACTTCCCGGGGCTGTGGAATAGTTCTAGCAACGTTTCATAACTACCTAAAGCTCCACGTTGCCGAAAGCATTTCCAGTCGTTAGTGTGTTATAATGCAATTCTTCTTTAGTTCAACTATTATGTTGCTCCTCTCGTCATGACCAACAACGTAGTCATCTCAGAGAGAAAGCAGTAGGGTGGGTGTTGCGTGCTGTACCATCATCAGTATTGTTGACGGCTACTCCCGCCTTGAGTTGTTACATGCAAAGTGTTTTTATGTTACTTCATACGCGAAGTTTGCGATTTTCAGAGTTGGTTGGAAATGCTATCTAACATGAAGCTTTAGTGTGATAATTTATTAGCTAGAGAATGGTCTTAGAAGAGGGTAGGTAGATAGTTCCGATAGAGTATGGCAGTATAAAAATTGAATCGAAATTGAAAATGAGCGAAGGGACATTAATGCGACAGTGCAAGTCTAACGCACACTCTTGAATGCTGAGAAATTGCTAGTAGAAGTGCGGACGCTGTTTAGATTGACGAGAATTATTAGGTAGTAAAATTACGTTTAGCTCTGTTCCTTATGATTGTACAATAGACTGATGCAAAATTTGACTTTTTCGCTCCACAGTGCTTAAATGGTTTCAAATCGGGTCCTGATAAGCCTTCCAAAGTTACAACTCATTTGGTTAGAAACAGACTTCGCACAAGCCATTTGAAGTTTGCATGTAAATTACTATGGGAAATCTCAACTTTTTGTTCATTGCCTTCTAGTTTTTTCCATATTGAGCTGCGAAACAGTTCGGTAGCTATTCTTATAGAAAATTTTCTCAGCTACATCTTTGCTGAAGATCGTTTCTATGTAAAACGAGACAGGAAAAAGTTAATTTTTTAAGAGATTAGTAAACTTATAACATGATCAAGCAGCTGCTCTGTAGGCAACACTGTATTTTGCAGTCTGACATAGTAGCCATGATTTTTGTGTCCTATTCAACGCCCCAGAAACACCAATGTTGCCTGCTGAGCAGTTGATTGAGCATGATCATAAGACATCAGCGCATTGAACCATTGATAACTTTCGATCCTTGCATTTGATCAAAAAGTGGTCTTCAGCAAAGTTGTAGCTGGAAAAATTTTCTACAAGCACAGTTGAGAGCTGTTGAAGCAGACCGATATGGTGAATTATTAGATCGACATGAACAAAAATCTTGGTTTTTCCATAGTAATTCCCATACAAACTTCAGGATCCGATTTGGAATCGTTTAAGTATTGTGGAGCGAAAATTTCAAATTTTGCATCACTCTATTGTACATTGATTTAGCATTTCATTTGATTAGCCTATATGGCTCTCCATCTTTGATTAATTCGTTATTCCTATTTAATATTTGCATTTTTCAGCAAATGTAAATTTTTCCCCTTGGGGGCATATTTGGATTGAATAGAAAAATAATGTTTTATAACCTACCTAACTACGAATATAACTTAACTTAACGTGTTAGATCACGTATTATCTGATGCCTTGATCTCAGACAACCTCTGAACCTTTCCAGGATGTATACTCTCCTTTCTTCTAATGTTCAGAATTCCAGCCTGGAGGTGGATCCCAGAATTTCGAGTCCGCGGGGGACTGTTTAGGATCATCATAAGGATATTGTTCTGGATCCTTTGCAGTTTTAGGTGATGGCAATGTGAACAACTCCCCCCCCCCCCCCCATTGTGATATCATATTCAATAACAGGTAGGATTAGTTGTTTATAGACAGCAAGCTTATTTTTCAGTGACAAGGAGGAATTCCTGTTGATGAGTGGATACAGTGATCTCATCAAGATGTTGCACTTAGTGTTAGTTTCATCTATGTGCTCCCTGAAAAGGAGCTTCCTATCTAGGGTTAGTCCGTGGTATACAACCTCTTTGGACCAATCTACCACTGAGCCGTTTAAGCGTATCTTAATATTCTCAGACGGAACAAGTCTAGGTGATTGAGAATGTAGGAAAATGGTCTTGGCCGCGTTGATACGGATCTGCCAACCAGTGCTGAAATTTGTTTCATTGTCATTTACAGACTTTCGCGCGATATTAACCAAATTATTATTCACATAGTCACTGATAGACTTGATACTCAAAAAAGCATTTGTCAAAATCTTATTTATTTCTTCACCAATGACAAAGATTCACCTGGTAACAAAAAGTGCAATTTTGTGCATTCTGAGTCACATTATTGTTATCCAAGAAATTCAGAACGTAGATGCTTGTTCATTTTAACGGCTCCATGTAATTGTTTTGCTCAAGTCATTTAATTTCGTTTCAAATTTAGATAATAACAAAATCTTCACATGTTCGTCACTGACAGCATTGTCGCTGACAATTGTCATGGTTTGCCTTGACGATGACTGTTAGTCAAGAACACATTGTACCGAAATTAGATTCGGCACATCCATCGGCACACCTTCGGCACAATCTTAAACATGCTCTAATTGAATATACCAGAGGAACTCAGACCAGCATTTCCTTATAGATCTAAATACGAAATGTAGGATCTAAGTAGAGTGGACTCAAGAGAAAGAGGCAGTTAGACCCCATTAATACCCTTAATTAAAATAATGCTGCAACTCACATAAAACAAAATACAGAAATCTATTCATCTATCTATCTATTCTCTATAATCGGTCTCCAACAATGTTCCCCACAGGTTCCAATTTTTTCCGGCTGCTGATAGACTGTTGCTTTTCACATCACGGAAGGCTAGCTTTCTGGTCTGCCTTTGAGGACAATGTAAATTATCATATGAATACAAAACACCAAAATTGCACACACCCACCACTTCCCGCGTCATCTTCAATCCGATTTATCCTTGCGATTTGAAACCAAAACATTCAAGGTGTCAGAAATACCGGGTTGCCGGGATGGATATTTTACAAACAATCACAGCTTGCTCTATGACCGGCACAATCAGCACATCTGCAGCACACTGAAAAAAAAAAGATGCCCCAAGATTGGTGTGCGGAGTGACCTACCCCTTGCTGTTGGCTCAAATGTGTGACCAAAGCAGAATTTTGAATAGCGCCGTGTATTGTTGAGGTTTTGCAGCACTGTTGAACTATTGAAAGCCTCAGACAGGACATTCAAGCCTCTCTGAAGTTTAGCAATGAGAGCTCCGATGACCCTACAAGCACAGAACAGAAGGGAAAGTGCAAACAAATCGGTGAATCAAAAAGTGCTCGTTTTTCTGCTCAACAAGCGATATGTTGTGATAGCGTTCCACACGGGCTTTCTATGTGCACTCACACTATCATAGCATGCTGCCTATCTTAACTGCAGGCCGAAAATGCCTTCTACCGCTAGGTGCGCTAGTGTTCGCAAATGACAAGTGGAGCCACTTTCTGATTCGAAGTTCCACTCCTGTGTTACAAGGGTAGGATGGATCTGCGAACAGAGAGAACGTTCCACCATCATGGAGAGCCGGAATGTCGGAGGTGAACAAATTGAAAAGGATGGGCCCAAGGATACTTCCTTGCGGAACGTTGAAGGCATCCGAAGTGATGCCATTGAAAGAGACTTGGCATGTTCTGTTTTTAGCTCACTCCCATCACGAGGGGAAATAGCCAAGCCTAAGAGGTAATCGTAAAATCTAGAACTCATATGTTTAAGCTCTATATTCAAGATGTTATCGAAACCTGGGGCCTTCATGTGTTTAGAAGATTCAATATAGGCCAACAGTTCGTCAGCTGAAATCTCTGAAACATCGGGGAAGTTTTTTTTTTCCTTTGGTTTGTTTTTTCCGTCGATCTTGTTTTCCGTGCTGAGCACCAATGCTACCGACGTGCCAGGAAGGCAGCTCCCACACCTGGACCCTATATCGACCCATCAACTCATGAACCGGGGACCAATGGCTTTACTTCCCATCCGAAGGAAGGCGTGATCAGAGATGTTATGCCTCAGAACATCCCGGCGGCGCCGACTGGGATTGAACCCAGGCCTGCTGGAGTGAGAGGTAATCACGCTTACCACTACACCACCGGCGCCGTTCATCGGGGAAGTTGTTAGGAATCAAATGGAGGTTGGCTGCATTTTCAG